TCTCGTTCCGTCTCTATCTCTCACCCACTCTCTCCCTTACTCTCTCATTTTCTCTTTCTCTTGGTCTCTCGCTTTCCCTTTCTTCCTCACATCCTCAGCTGACTCCATCTTCATTTTCACCATCGTCTACAACCATCGTCACCATCCACAAAATCATCCATCACATTCATCTCTACCATCATCCACCCAAATCCCTCACCAATCCACCGAACTCCATTACTTCTCCATCCGAAATCTGCATCACCATCTTTACCGATTCATCAAGTTCCATCACCGATCCATCAAGATCCGTGACTGATCCATCAAGATCCATTGACGATCTACACAAATTCGTCACCGATCTACCCAATCTTCTCCATTTCTTCAGATTATCAAGGTCATCACCGATCAACATGTTGAAATTCTTGTTGCACTGTGTTATATTTTTTTACTTGTTGTATGTACTCCAAATTCTCTTGGATTTAATAATGGTTGCTTCTACTTTGTTTGAAGAAATTGTTTTTATTTTTATATTCTCCTTTTATGCTAGTGCACTTGGTGTAGTTGTTTATGGCCGGATCTTAATGGCCCTTGGTATTATAGATTGGTAATTTGTTTCTTCAAATTTATGTAATTTTTAGTGCATTAATTCAGGGGGAGACTCATATATTTTGAGATTAACAATCATTATAAAAAGATATATATATATATATATAAAAAGGCGTGTGTATATTTTGTGCATAATTTTAGGGGGAGTATATATACATATTTTTTTTCAGAGCCTAGACTTTAGTTTGTGTGACTTAATCGTCTTAGAGTAGATCATGGGCAAGCATCCAATAGGCCACCACTGTTTAGTGGCAAAAATTTTAGCTATTGAAAAACTAGGATAACTATACATTTTCGATCTAATAATTATGAATGCTGGAAAATTATTTACAATGGTCTAAAAATTCCTACCAAAACCGTAGATGGCCTTAAGGTACCAAAACCTGAAGAAGAATGGAATAAATCAGATACTAGAATGACCCAAATTAATGTCAAAGCCACAAACATGTTGTATTGCGCCTTAGATGCCATCGAGTTCAACAAAATCTCCACATGCAAAATCGTAAAAGAAATTTTCGATAAGCTTATTGTGACTTATGAGGGAACCGAGTAAGTTAAAGAATCTAGAGTCAGTTTGCTAGTTCATAATTATGAACTTTTTTAAATGAAGCCTAATGAAACTATTCTTCAAATGTTTACTCGCTTTACTGATATTATTAATGGTTTAACTTTTCTTGAAAAAATATATACTAATATTGAAATTGTAAGAAAAGTGCTTAGGTCATTACTAAAAAGTTGTGAGACAAAAGTCATTGCCATTACCGAAGTTAAGGATTTATCAAAACTAAGTCTAGATTAGTTAATGAGATCTCTCTTAACTCATGAGCTCATAATGCAATAAGGAAAAGAAGAGGAGGACAACAACATCATGTTGTTTAATTTTGATGATGTCTAAAATATTATTTGAAAATTTTAGATTTTTTAATATACATATTTTATATTATTTGACACAAAATATTATCTGTTTAAAATATAGATTGTATGATATATTTGTTATAAATATTATTTAAACGGAAATATTTTGAAAATATCACTATTCACTTTTTGACAAAATTGATTGATTGGTTGGCTGGTCACTATTCACCTTTTGACAAATTTAAAATTGATTAATTATATTATTTTGACAAAATTGATTGATTAGTTGTATTATTTTGAAAAATATGATATTGTTAAATTGTTTCCTTTTGATATACTCACATGGGATGATTGGTTATTTTTATTTGAGCGTATTTATAATCTCTTCAACAATTACAAAACTTTTAGAAGGGATATATATATATATACACATTTGATATAATACACAAAGAAATGGTTGCAAAATTGTAGCATATTGAATTTTAATTCACATGTTGAAGTTTGAATTTAAATGTTAAAGTTATATCTTTATAATGTGGACTTTGTAGGATTTTTTTTTTCATATATATATATATATTTATATTATATATATTAATCAAAACCCACATGTTTGTGAGTTTTGTTTAAATTCGGCCACTATGTTTGACAAAAAGAAAAGATGCCTCATGATGAAAAGTTGAAACAAAGGATGCCTCATGATGAAAAGTTGAAACAAATAGATGTCATCCATGACGTCAGCAAGGAGCGTCCAACGGGTATATTGTTGTGTATAAATAGAAGTGTTGTGTGTGGAGAAAAATCAAGAACTTGAAGAGAAAATTTTCTGTGAGCTCCAAATTGTATTCTGCTCTTTCACTTTCAGATCTAAGTCTAGCTTTTGTTCTTATACTTTCATATCTATTCTTTGTGAGAGAATTATTGTAAAAGTGGATTCAAGTACCACTTATTCTTATTCCTTATTTTTGTGAGAAATTTTGTAAGGGTAAGACATTTATTGTTGAGTGAGGCTCAATAGATAAGAATAAGTCCTGTGCCAAATCCACAAGCTTGGTGGTGTATTTATTCAATTGATAGTAAAGAAATTCTCAAGGAGGTTCCTTGGAGAGTGAACGTAGGTTTGGCGTGCCGAACCACTATAAATCGCAGTGTTTGATTTTCTTTCTCTATCTCTCCTACTTTTATATTGATAATTATTATTCTGTTTTTTTTATTTATTAAAATTCTGAATATTGTGTTATTTTTAATATTGTGAAATTTTTAATAATCCAATTCACCCCCCTCTTGGGTTGCCTATCTGGGATAACAAATTTCATTGAGCAGGTAGTAGGTAAGGTAAAAATTACTCAATTCCCAAATCAAAAGGCCAAAATCCAAACATTTAAATTGTTCATCAGATTGTGAAATTCCCTAAATCCAAACATTGAAATTAATTATCAAATTGTCAAAAGCCCTAAATCTAAACATTCAACACAAGTGTTTATCCCAAGCCCTAATACATATACAAGATACATATATACTCAATACACACACACACACATATATACGCAGATAGAGATATAAGTCGAAGTCGGAGTTACCTCTTAGTCATTCTTCATCGGGTCTTTATCGGAGAGAGTCGGGAGATGGGCGCCGGAGTCAAGGGAAGGAGGGAGACGGGTGTCGAAGACAAGGAAAGGAGCTTGTCAGGCTCTTTCTTGTTGGAGTCAAGGTAAAGAGGTAGAGGGAGCCATAGATATGAGAGATCTGTATTGTAGGGAGATTTTGATCTGTATTGCAGTGGGAGAATTTGAATTCTGAATGAGGAGAAAGAAAGAAAAGGTGCGTGGGCTGTGATACACGTGAAAGATCACATGAGTCATCCACATCAGTTGAGGGTCGTGGGGATTAGCATTTTTGGGGGTTGGAATCATTTTTTATTTGAATTTAAGTATTAAAAAGAAGTATATATATATACTTTTTTTTATTTTTTATATTTTTTTCTAGTTTATTTTACTATTAAAATAATATAAAATTTTTATTAATATTTTATAAATGGGTAGGCTGAGCCGAGTTAGGCTGGATTAGAACTATTTATCCAAAATCCAGCCCGACCTTACGAACAAAATAATTTTTTCAAAATCTAAAAATGTCAGGCTAAGCTGGATCAACAAGCCAATAGTCCCTCCTAATTCTATCTCAAGAAAGAAACCTCCCTAGGACTATGCGGGGCTTATATTTTATTTAAAAAAATTATATATATAATATTAATATAGTAAAATTATTTAGTTATAATTATTTATTTATTATAAATAATTTGTAACAAAAAAGAACGTTTAAACTATTAAAATAGAATTCGTAATAGAAAAAGGAGAATTAATTAGAAGGAAGTTAAGTTCATTTTTGAAATTTGGATACCAAATTTAATCCCCATAGCATATTTTGGCTGTGGCTAGAATTTAAATCACAATTTAGAAATATTAAATTTAAGTTCATTATGTTAAAATGTGCATTTAAAAAAATATTAAAAATTATGATGTGATTAAGTGTATGTAAATTTATTCCTTTTATTTATTATTTATTTTAGACATTATTTGACATCCCTTATATTAGTATACTTTTTTACCTTTTTATCTTTTTTGAGTTACATCATCTCTTTATTTTTTTATACATCTTTTTGTAAAAGATTCAAAATTATACTTATTTAGATCATTCCAAATACGTTCTTAGTAGTTAGGTGCTTTTAGAGATGGCAATGCGAATCCGAACCCGTCAATCCATCCATACCTGTCCATAATTTTTGAGTTTAAACTCCCTTATTTACTTAATGGGTTATAAGCAGGTAATAGTATTAAGCCCACCTCATTACATGGGTGAATGCAAAAAAATACTAACAAAACATGCCATGCTCAAGTTTCGTACTCAATCGACTTTCTTAGACAAGCAACCACCGACCATTTAATGATCAATTACTCATCAACAAATTGTACATATATGTATTTTTTATGAGTCTTATTCATCACAACTCTAAGAGTTATTAATAGGAATCACGTAAAGTCAATATTTATTGTCTCAATATACATTTTATATATCTCAAAATACTTCTATATATTTTAATTCAATTTTTACATATTTCAATATATTTTATTCACATTTCTCAATCTTAACGAGAAGATTGTTGTTAGCAATTTATTTATTTATTTATAATAATAGTACAACAATAGAAAAAGCATTGAACTGAATTAAAATATTATGCACTATCAATATATATATATACTATGACATTGATACTAATATTTTAGTATATTTAATATTTGTTATAAATATTAAACACAAATGTTTTCACCTTTTATATCTCTCTCTCTCTCAAACTTGAATTTTTGAAGAAAAAAATTAAAGAAAATTTGAATCTATTAAAAAATGAGTTCATTAAAGTAAATGAATTGGGTTGTCCAACCCGTACCCAAATTAACCCAACCCACAGTTTAGTAAATGGAAGGGTTTTAATTAAGTTATTTAACACCAAACCCGTTTAGACCCGTTCGTTGGCCACCTTTAGGTAGTATGTATGCGATGTTCCTCTATTTTGGAAGAGGCGGAATGCTTTGCTCATTTCTGAAGAAATTATCAGGATCAACTTTTGTCTTCACACGCACCAATCTTTCAAAATTGCCCTTGAAATATTTAGCTCCAAAAATGCTTGAATTTGCACCATTTTGATTAGTGCCAATGTCAAGATCTCTATAGTTGAGGAAAGCCTCGCGTGGCGATTGCGAGACATGTGGTGCCAAGAAATCATAGAGTTTTCGCAATGACTCTACCTTACTGTCATCTTGAGTGTAGTACCAGTACTGGATTAGAAATTTGTATCCTGATCTATGAGGAAATGGGGTTTCGGATTCAGAAATCTGATTCATTCTTCCTCCATATGGGTTCCACTGCATTATCATTCCCATACCCATTTTGATCATCTTCTTCCACAATTCTTCCAAAACTGCCTTTGGAATAGGTGTTATCACATAGTCCGATTTCACCTTAAAGGGGAATGATTCATTTAACATCCTATAGAGTAGGCTATCCAAGGAAATTCCCTTTGGTTTATTATCCCAGTAAAGAGTGGTTTCAATCCAACTTGACTTGATACAATCCTTTTGTTGCAAACCCAATTCGGGAAATTGCTGATTCATTATTGAAAGAAGTGTATGTGATTGCCCTAGGTATTGACCAAAGAATTGAAATTGAATGCTCTCATTCTTCTCAACACTCATTTCAAGTCTTATGAAAATGTCTTCTGGTAGTGTGTCTGCAACTTGTTGCCACCGATAGACAAGGTCTGTTATACTTCTTGTTGCACCTTGCTTTATGAGCTTTTTCACCAGAAAAAAAGTAACAATTTCAGGAACTGACACCAATTTAATTTTCCAAGAAAGAATGACTCCAAAGCTAGCTCCACCACCTCTAATAGCCCAGAAATGATCTTCTCCCATGGATTTTCTATTGAGGATTTTTCCATTAACATCAACTAGTTGTGCATCAATAATGTTATCCACAGATAAGCCATACTTTCTCATCAAGTTTCCATACCCAGCCCCGATGAAATGCCCACCAACTCCAACAGAAGGGCAGACACCGCCTGGAAAAGCATGAGTCTTACTTTTTTGGGAAATGTTGAGATATAGTTCACCGAGACTAGCCCCTGACTGTACCCATGCAGTTTCTGTTGCGACATCAATGTTGATGGATCGAAAATCGGACATGTCAAGGAGAACAAATGGTTCATTTGATACGTAAGAAAGGCCTTCATAGTCATGACCTCCACTTCGGATTCTAAGATGATAGTTATGATTCTTGGTACAAATGACAGCTGCTTGGACATGGGATTCATGAATGGCTGCTACGATGGCCACCGGATATTGGGCTTTGGTTGTATTTAGTCTCTTATTTCTAAAATATGCATAGAAAATATTCGAGAATTTAGAGTTTTCAGGGATGTAAATGGCTTCCGAGATTGGTTTTATAGACTTACCAACTTGTTTTTTGAGGCATTGAACAAATGCGTCCGTAGCCAAGTCTGAAGTTGCAAATGGAATTGAGAACAAAAGGGTTGAAACTAGCACTAATAACATTGCAATGCTTGAAAGCTTCATTTTCTATAACTTATTTTCCTATCTAAATTCTCAATTTTTTAAGCTTTTGTTAATTTCATAGTGTATTTATACTCTTATAGAGACAACATAATAAGCTTAATTTGTAATATAATATTATATTTTTGGCATTTTATTGTTCAAAGTCAACAAAATCTTTCCAGAGACAACTGTACAATAGGAAACTTTTTCATCCATTGAAAAAGTTTAAAATCTTACATGAAACAACTGTGCAATGCCAACCTTTTTTTATGAATGTACAAAATTTATTAGATTATTGTACAAACATAAGGTTTCAATTTCCCATAAAAAAATCAAGGACAACCTCATTCTAACACACCACAAAACCTTTTTCATTTTATGATTGAGTGAAAATGTATTTGTTTTGCTCCTCTCTCTCTCTCTCCATAGCTTGGCAAATATTCATTTTTTTATGAATATACAAAATTTATTAGATTATTTAACAAACATAAGCTTTCAATTTCCCTTAAAAAATCAAGGACAACCTCATTCTAATACACCACAAAACCTTTTTCATTTTAAAATCATTGATTGACTGAAAGTGTATTTATCTTGCTCTTCTCTCTTTTATTTTTATTTTTATATATATGCTTAGCGAACATCAATATTCAATTTTGTTGTGTGTTGGGTCCTGGAAAAAGTCAACTACACCAAAATAGCTAAAGGTTTTCCGAAAGAAAACAACATTAAAGCATATCAACGGAAATCTTCTCGGCATCCTAGAAGCCATGATCATGATGATACCTTTCCATCACCACGAAAACAGAGGAAGTGGATTTTACGTTAAATAGTTGATTACCAAAACATAATAAAAAAAACAGGCTAATGTTGTTAACAAGAAGTCAAATCAAGTTTTAAGAAATTTAAGTTGTGCTCAAGTCAAGCTTAAAAAATTGTGTCTTAAGCTCAACTAGTATTTGAGAAGCTTGAACTTAACTCAAGTCTCAACTCTATTATATATATGAGATGAGCTCGACTTTGAAAAATATTTGATAAATCGAACTTAATTTAACATATTAAGAGGAAAAAAAGAAGAAGAAGAAAGATTATGAGCAAAACATGAATAATGATCATATTTTTGATAAGTTTCGTCAATCAAATATTAATTTATATTATCCTTATGTTCATGAAGAATCTATTCAAAGAGAGCTTTGGTCTACTTGAGCTTGGTTTGATTACTAAACAAGACTCAAAACCTGACTTGAACACATTCATTTAACAAACAAATGAGTTAAGCTTAAACAAATTTTAAACTAGTTGAGCTGAAACTGTTCATAAAAAATTCGATTCGTTTACGGCTCTAACTTAACCAGAGGTTTGCTTTAACTCTATATTGTCATCTAGACTTCCTTTAGTCTCCTTGTTTAGATGCAAAAGAGGTTTATATGTTCTTATTTTTGTCACAGGCTGGAATAGCAAAGGCAAAAAGGTGTGTTTATTTATATCTATTGTTATGCAACCCGTGCACTATATAGTTGTTTATTCATAGCTAAACTTTAGTTCAGCTGGCTTCTGTTCAGACATTGCTTTCATTCCTCATAAAATAAAATGGAAATGAAAATGAAAATTAAAAATTGAAGTATTGAGTTGATTCTATTGGATAGAATAGTACATCGAGTCATGTTTCTCTCACAGTCTAAGATTGTGTTTGAATTATGAATTTGGATAGAAATTTGAAATAGAAAATGAAAATGTGAATAAAATATAACTATGTTTTATTCACATTTCACTTAAATATTTTTTTTTCCTTCAAATACCTATCCAAATTCATGATCCAACACAACCTAAGGCTAGTTTAATATTTTTCTCATATTTGTAACTTGTAATATACGCCTGGTGCAATGGTAGAAGCACTTAACCTTTGGTCAAGCCACGCTGATCAACTCGAGATTGAGTCCCAGTAACTCCTTCCTCCATCTCTCCTCCTTTCCAAAAAAAAATGAGAGACGTATACCTATATTTAATAGGTAGATTTATTATTCAATAGGTCTTACGATAATTAATTACATTTTTTATCAAACATTATTAAAAAAAGTCACAAATTGTTAATTTTCAACGACAGTTTGAAAATTATCACAAAAAATGTCGCTAATTATAAGTTTTAGCGATAGTTTAAAATAATTGTCATAAAAAGTCATTAATTATTAACTTTCAGTAACAGTTTAAAAATTATCACATTGTAAGTTTTAGTGATAGTTTATAAAAATCGTGACAAAAAAATCAATAATTGTTAATTTTTAGCGACATGCAAAAAATCGTCACAAAAAATTATTTTTAATGACGATTTTACTAGGACTTATTTTTATAATAGGACTTTATGGGAATTAAATTCAACTATTAGGATCCATTGGTAATTTACCAAAAAAAAAAAACCAAAAAAACAAAAGAAAAAACTTGTTTTGATGAAACCCCCAAGTCTGGTGTTCTTGTTTGAGTACTCTTTGATTCCTTTTTTTTTTTTTCCTTCTACATTTCCGTATCTGCCAGATCCGGTGTTAAGGTTTCACAATTCCTAACATATTCAACAATTGAAGATGATGAGTTAGAGAAGTAGATTAACAACTTACCTTTTGACTTGTCATTTTGGATCAATTTTTTTAATGTAAAAATCCATAAAAACTAACAACAATTGAAACATTCATTTAAAAACACAAGTATGCAACAGAACTGATACATGATACAACAGTCAATTCTTTTGGTAAAAAATGAACAAACATGTAATTTTCCGAGTTGTTGAGTTCACCGCCTTGAGTTGCTTCTACTTCGGCTCATCTTCACCAAGATGGTAACCAATAGCGGAACACAAATTCCCTGACACATTTCTTCTCCATGTTCCCTGGGGACATCCAAGCACGATCTTCTCTCTGATAGACTCTCGCGTTGTTCAAACCGGCTTGCATTTGGGAAGTACACCCTGTTTCCCTTGACCTAATTCCAATTAGCCGGCCCAGTGACACGCTATGGTCTTGGAAGAAAGATGCTGTAGACTGGTCGATCTCACACAGAACAAACTATTACTAGTGAGTGTCAAGGTGTCTAAGCCTGCAGCCAGGGCCACATTTCAAAGCAAATTCAAGGATGAAATGGATTTTAAATTTTCACCGCCATTGTAATGTTTTCTCCATGGTTTATTGCCAATAATTTATAGACTAGAGGTCGGGGCACACACTTTGCGCGTGAGTGAAATACATCAAAATGTAACTGAAGTAGTTACAGCATGAATTTACAATTTTACTGACAGTTAGAAAAAATAAAAGTTTTTCAAACAGTAAAAAAGGGTTTTTGTTGGATGATTTGGAATTGAAAAGAGCATTACACAGCTTTAATTGGGTGTTCACACCAAATTCATCAACTGTTCACTCTATACGAACTAGAAGGCTATGCGCACATGCGATGCATGTGTAGAAATGTCAGTAAAATCTGTCATTTGAAATAAAAAAAAAAAATTGAATGTCTATGGCAGGAATAAAATCAAAATTTGAAATAAAAAATCTAGACAGTTGTATAGGAGTAATCTGGGATGAGAGAATGTGTGACAAAATTTCAAAACATGTTCTGAGTTGTGTACTTAGATTACAATGAAAAAGGTCTGTGTAAATTGAGCAAAATTTGAACCCTTTAATCCGCACATGTCTAACTCTGTAGCATCTCTCAAACAATGAATTAAAATTGGGTCTGGAATAGTCATTTAAGCAGGAGACTTAGCTTAGTCTGAACTTGGCAGAAAAAATAACAAGTGAATGTCATTCTTTCTTGAAGTAGCTATAGATCCACACATGATGTATGTGAAGGAGAAAATGAAAGAGATGTAAAGAAACAGATGGGGTAAGGAAGAAAAAGAATTACCTACCTCTGTATCAAGGTTAGAGGATGAAAATGAGGAGCAACTGGACGAAGGTGTGTGTAAAGGATGTGGTTCTGTTGCAGCAGGATGTAAGCTCTCTGTCACTCGAAGTCTCATGTTCAAGTTTCCCAGTCCAAGTGGCCATCCATTAGGCATTTCATGGTCCTGGTGAAAAATTATTAGCACATAGCATCAAACTCGGATCAACCCCTAAAAATAAAAGAGTCAAACATTACAATCTTTTGATTAAATAGACACTGAACAAAATAGACACCGAACAAAAGCAAGCTCTCCACGATTCTCGTGAGGATTTTCTTTCTTGTTCTTTTTCTTTCATCCTCTTTTAAGTTATGATCTTTCCATGAGATTCCTAGAGGTGGGGTGTTTCTTCACTTTGGATAGGATAGTTTTGGTAAAAATTTGGACATCTATATTTTAAAGATTTGCCTGCATTAATAAATTAAATGTACAACAGAGCCATTTTTTTTTTTTCCCGTTTCTTTTCTTTTCATCAAGGCTTTTTATCAAACATGTTTAATTCTAGCACCCTCAAAATTCTTTCCAAAAACTTCCCATGAGGATTCAAAGTGAAGTTTGCAACTTATCAAATTAGCTCTCTCTCTCTCTCTCTCTCTCTCACTTAGAAGCTATGATCTCACAATTAAAAAAAAATCTAAAATTAAGACATCTTCATTCTTCTTTCAATGGGTTTCCATTTAAAATGAATCCAAATAAAAACCATGAACCACCAAAGAACACATTTTTAGAAACTTGTCAAATTTGAAACTTCTGTGACTCTCCCTCTAAATATGAATTTTCCTTAACATAGATCCCATTAAAATTGAATTCAAGGAATACCCACAAACCATCAGGCAACAAAATCGTAAAACCAACACAAATTATTGGAAACTAAAAACAATTAATCAAATGATCGTGGGCTGGTCCTTAAAGGCAAGCATAACCAGAGACATATCGCTTAAGATTCTAAACCAAATGAAACAACATGAGTTGGAGACAATTAATCAAATTGCATTTAATAGAAAAACCCAAATGAACAAGGAAGAGTTATATTATATTACCTCTAAAACCATGGCGTGTGAGGTGGGACTCTTCAGAGAAAGAAATGGATGATAATGAT